TAGGCACATTGGTAGTATTCTATCATAGACAGCATTGTACTTCATGACACATCTTCATATGTTCTTTTTGACAATTAATGTAACACCATTCCTCTTCAATTTGTCATTCCCCGCATAGTAACCCATATGGTTGTCAGATTCAAAATGGCCAAATCCAGTCCATTTCAGCTCACTAATGCCTAAGATATTGATGTTTATGTGTTCCGTTTGATTTTTTTGACAATTTCCAATTATCCTAGATTCATACTTCATACATTCCATGTTCTGATTATTAATGGATATTTACAGCTGTTTCTCTTCATTTTGAGTTGTTACCCTTTAGCAAATGAAGGTCCCAAGGACTTTACTCCAATTGCATCATCATAGTCAACTCTTTGACTTTGAGGAGGCAGCTCTTCCCCAGTCACATTTTGACTGCCTTTCAATCTAAGGGTTTTATTTTCCGGCACTATATCTGACAGTGTTTTTCTGTTATTCATAAAGTTTTCAGTGGCTAAATATTCAGAAATAGTTCCTCTCTCCTTCTTTCTAGTCTGTCTTCGTCTGGAAGCTCATCTGAAACCTGTCACCATGGGTGACCCTGCTGGTATTTAAAATAATGGTGGCATAGCTTTCAGAATTACAGCAACTCACAAGCCACCACAGTATGATAAACTGACAGACGAGTGGTGGTGAGAAGTTCTTACACATTATCAAACACCTTGAGGTAACAAGTCACTAGGTCTGGGGGGCAGGTCTCAGAACCCCCATCTCAGAGGACGCCATAGTCAGTTGGGATAGTAGAGTCCACAAAGACAATATTCTGCATTCTACTTTGGTGAGTAATGGTTGGAATTTTAAAAGCTCATGAGCAGCCGCCTAAGGTGTAGCTATTGGTCTGTCCTTGTATGGAAGGAAGAAGAGTGATGAAAATTGAGGACGCTTGAATAAATTAATCCAATGGACTGATGGAACACGTGAATATCAGTCTTCTTGACCCTGAGACCTGAAGAACTAGCTGGTGTCAGGCTACCACTCCGAACTACTCTGAAAGGAATCACATTATAAGGTCCCAGGTAGAGTGGGAGAAAATGTGGAACAAAACTAAAATTTATAAATAATATTTAAAAAACAGACTGGGCTTACTGGTCAGAAAGAGTAATGACTCTCAGTTATCCTTCAAGTCTGGAATGGAACTCACCCTCCTGGCCCAGGTTTCAGCTAAGAGGTAAATAGATACATAGGGAGAACACTAGTAAGGTATGCTCACCATAGAACAAGGAGCTCTGGCAATGTAGTGGATTATGAGGTGAGCTCCTAACCAAAAGGTCAGAAGTTTGACTCTACCTGCTGCTCCATGAGAGAAAGATGAGGCTTTCTGCTCCTATAAAGATTTACAGCCTCAGAAAACCTATACAGGATCGCTATGTGTTGGCACCAACTCCATGGCACATAACCACCACCACTAAGGAGCATCCAACCTTTCAAGATCAAAAGGACACCATTTACCTAAGGACAAAGGACACCATTTACCTAAGGACAAAGGACACCATTTACCTAAGGACAAAGGACACCATTTACCTAAGGA